ATCTCCATTGTCCAAGCACTTGTTAAGTCTTAGAATCAACTTAGTTTTCTTGAATCATAGAAGTCTGTTGCCAGTTCTTTGAACCACATCATGACTCTTTTCACTTGATTATGTCAATTTTTTTCTCATCCAGATGTTTCTTCAGGTGAAGAATTGATCCATTGATTTTCACTTGTTCCTTCAATTGAAGAAACAAATCAAAATTGCTGGACAAGAGGTCTGGGTTATGTAGAGGATGATCTAAAACTTTCCATTTGAAACTGCCGAGTGATGTAGAGGTGGCAGTGTTGGTATGAACATTGTCTTGAAGCAAGTATTGAATAGATGCCTTTTGTTTTGAATCACCCATCAAAATCATTTTGAGGTCTAACAAAAAGCAGTGGCATTTCTTGTACTAAGGCATAAAATTAATGAGCAAAATGCCCTCCTATCTCAAAACACTAGCCATAATTTTTTGGCTGAAATCAATGGACAGATAAATGAATAACAAGGATGAAAATGAACTGAAACATCATTTATTCAGCTCATCTCCTGTGCAGAACTGGACAGTTTCAATGTGGCCACTATTATTGTGGACCAGGAATTGCATCCTATGCACATTATTCTCTGCAGCTAAATTTAATATGTCCAAAGAAATGTTCATTCTAGTCCATGATATATTGACCCTTAAGGTATTCAAGTTCCAGGACCCTGCCAAGATGGACCTTGGACTTTAAATATTCCCATAGTCAAAATTGTGTGGAGTTAGATCCAAGAGTGAGGCAACCATGCAGTCAGAAAGAACTGACTGATGACTCTTTCTTCTATAAAGTGATATAATAGAAGCTGCTATATTAATCAAGCAATGTGTGATGGTGCTCCATCTTGCATAAAAATTATCTTATCCAGATATTGTCTCCTGAAATTGCTGAATGATGAAACTGTTCAGCATATTGAGATATTTTTGTGCAGAACAGAATAGCTTACCAGTCTGGTCAGTGTAATGTTTTCAAAAAAGAATTACACTCTGATATCTGCTGTGAAGCCACATCACACAGTGATTTTTTGACAAATTTAATGAGATTTCCTGAAACACATGAGGTGGTTTGGATGACCAGATTCAACAAGTTTGGGTGTTTGATAGTCCCATCCAGATTAAAATGAGTTTTGTCTCCCCACAGAATTTGCCAATCCATGCATCATTAACTTCCATTGTGGCAAGAAACTTGAAAGCAAATATCAATTACCTGCCATGATTGTTGTGTTGGAGTTGCTGTATGCACTTCCCACGATCGAACTCCCAGTGTTCAGGGTACGAAGACCGCTTGGTCACTGATGGGCCTAGATATCTTTAGCCATAGCTTCTTCCACACTTCGTTCGTGCATTTATCAGTTAATTCTTGCCAAGCAAAGTCGATATTGCTTATGGCATGATGTTATATTTTTTTCAAAATTGCACCAAACAAACATAGATTTAAAGAAAGTACATCTTTTTCTGATTGGTTCATGTTTGTAAATAATTGTATTATGTACAAATCAATAAAATGCCGCAATAATTTAAATCAGTGTAAAGTTTGAGCTTTTTTTTTTTTAGGCTTTGAGCAGACGGCATTATATCAAATCAGCATTAAGCGGGGTCTTGCTGTACAATTTACAATCATTGAAATAAAAAATTTCCAAAAGTGAAAACTGATTATAGATTTTTAAAAAAAAAATTTAAAATGTTCAACAATGAAAAATAACAATTGAATCAAAAGCAATTATTTTTATTTTCTAACATTTCTTCATATAATATTCCAATATAGTCTGCCCTCAATTTATTACTGTACCTTGTTCTTAAAAATCTTGTAAATAAAGGAAAATGTCTCTATTATTTGTTAGAATTGAAATTTATGCTGTGTTCTGACATAACTGTCTTGTTCATCCTAATCATGTTCTCCAGATTAAAGTGCTACAAAACACCTGTTTACCTATTAACCAATGATTTTAAAATAAATTCCAGTAAATCAAAATGTCAATTAAGTTATTCACCAGTATAAAAGGAACAAATGAAAAATGAGAGAGTGAATATGACATAAGCAAGTATGTAAGTTACTAGAAATTTCTTCATTTAATATAAAAAAACAAAAGTTAGTTAAGACAATAAGCATAAAACACAGTAAAATAGTGAAATAAATTTCATTTTTAATTAATGAAATTGTAATCACTGATAGAAGGATTTGTAGTGTAGAGATGAAGTTTACTAAATGCAAAACTATCTCAGAAAGAATAGCAATACCCTGAACAAATGAAAAGACAATGTAAATGAAACAAAATAAACAGAAATTGGAACCTGGGAACAATTTAATCATAGCACACTTGAATTTTAGACTTATTGCACTTTTCATTTCAATATTTCATTCTCAGAAATATCTGTTGATGTTCATTGTATCAAATATTTCATATCATAAATGGAGGAGAGAAATGAAAACAACTTGTATTGAATTCTTACATATAAATACTTGTACTTGTAAATAGTGGTCACACTATATTGTCTATTGATATTGTAATATTTTTAATGAATAAAGAGTAGCAAATTTGCAAATTAATAGTTAGTTCAGCTAATTTCAGATTTATTAAATTGCTCAAATTTCAGTTTTTTATTACACTAAGAATATTTTTCTAATCACAGATTATAAAAAGGCTGAAGTTGTTATAACAGTAACTTTACATTAACCTTTACCATGTTTCCAGCTGCAAAGACTTAAAATATACACTGCAAACATTTTTGGTCCTGTTTAGTGGCCAGTTTCAAGCTTCTACAGAAGATTTGTATTGCAAACCAAATGAATATTCTAAACTTCCTGGAACATTTTTCACATCTGTTCTTTCATGTTACCAGTTCAGAATGACTTCATATTTAGAAATAAATGTTTTTCTTATTTAACAAAAATAACATACCTTGAACCTGTTACCAGTGTGAGTTGCAAGAAGGATAAAGTACATCACAAACGTTTTCGAACCAATTAAAGTTCTTCTTCAGATGATACACAGAATATCTGATGGAACACATATTCAAATCTTCGTGTTCTGTTTACTGTTAGAATGAATCCATGTCTTGTGAAATCATCCTGGTGGATATGTGCATTCGTATGGGTAGCAGCTATTGGCATTTAAATATCAGTATCCACCAGGCCTGCCATGCAACCGATAAATTTAACTCTTTCTTGTGATTGATGCAAGTGGCGGTGAGGCTGATTAACAAAAATATTGCCCAAAATATTTAACAATGTAAAAATGAAATGTAATACAAATTAATAAAATAAAATGGTGAAAAAATTTTTCATGTGAACATCCTGCTATAGTGGAACCTCGCTTAACAAGCATAATTCATTCCAAAATCTTATTTGTTAAGCAAAACAATTTTTCCCATGTAAAATATGATAATGTGTTCCATGCCAAAAAAATACTCAAATATTTTATGTATGACATTTATTCAAAGAAAATTATACAATATACATTGTTAAGGAGCATGAATCATCATCATTTCTTCTAGTGCCGAATGAACCAACCTGGAATGTGAATTCAATTTCCAGAAAACAAAAAAAAGCCATCACAGGTAATATGTCTGATAAACATGCCAAACGATATGCCAAATTCTTGAGCTATGTAAAGGCTATAATTAAATATTAGAAATTAATTAATTTGACTAGAGGTAGGCACTTATGCTGCCATCT